GTGCAAGAGAAGAGAGCGGTGAACTCATCAAGAACTCCTCAGGAGAAAAAGTGATAGTTCTGCGTGAATGGAACCTACTACTCTCTTCACAAAAGATAGCACTTCGTAGACAATCAATCACTCGCTCAGATTGGGAAAAATTACCATGGACAGGACATCAATGCCTACTCTTCACAAGAGCTTGGGAAATTGGACGCATGTTGGCACACTTCCATAAGGAGCAAAACATTGAAGCCATGGAAGGTTATTTGAACTCTTGTCGACAATATTGGACAGACTGGATGCGAGGTCAAACTGCCCCAACAGGTTGGGAAGACAGATTCAGTATCAGCAGAGACGAATGGAGAGAGAAGTTCTTGCTATACGAAAGAGACTTAGCAATACAGAAGGACATGGAGTATCTCTCAGAAGCAGTCTTTGTCTTTTACACCAAGCATCTTGACAAGTTCATTAGAGAGAACAACAAACTCTGGGGAGATTTCTGCAGGAGAAAGAAAGACCGTGATGGTAACATTTTGGATGCACTGGAGTTGAATACAAGTTTGTACGACATGACTATTCCTGGAATTACCATTCCCATGAACAAGAGAACAGTCATCCCTGAACCTGAACGGCATTTCTCGTTTTCCACAAAGATGATGATCATGGCAATCGATCTGTATGAAGATGAAGCACCTGCTAGCTTCAGCCATTTCACAGTTTTTGCTTTGAATAAGCTTCGACAATTTGTGGATAGCAGAAAGGAATTGACAGCTCAATCCTACAGATTCTTTGTTGAACATGCCTACAATCAATTCTTTCAGCATGAAGCATTCCATCAATCTGCAAGAGCAAGGACAAAGGTCAGGGAATGCGGTTCAGGTGACTTCCACACATCTACAAAGCTCGATGGCTACATCTGGGTAGCTGGAAAGGACAAGATCGCTCACATCCCAGGATCAGAGCAACAGAATGTGGACATGGAAGGTCACGATGATGATGATGCTGAAGATGATTTGGAGTTTTTGCCAAGACTACAAGTTTTTGTCAGGAAAGAGGAGGAAAAGGCATCAGGCTCTCAGGAAAGAGAGGAAGAAGGTGTATGCTCTCAAGAAAGAGAGGAAACACAACCACAACAAGAAAGTGAGGTATTACCTGATGCAAATCCTCGAAGAAATATGGAAGATCGACAGGGACTGTTCTTAGTCAGGCAACTCAAACCAGAGCACAGACAGATCCTCCATGATATTACACTCGCAGGCCAATCAGTCCTCACAGGAGATGATCTTGAAGGAGGTCAACCCCTTGAACGTGGTGACATAAGCTTCTTCTCATTATGGTTGATGATGTCAGCATTATCAGATGCTTCCTTTTCAACATTTATGGAGCAGTATGCACCTATGATGGGTTATGAGATCTCTTACGACAAGTACTATGAGTTCAAACTGGATATTGACCAAGTTCTCAAGGACAATGAACACCTTGGCGCAGAAAATTTCTTTGGAGCAGAGGATCCTCCTATGGTGGACGATGATCCAGACACTCCACTTCCAGATCTTCAAAGACCAGGCGCAGGTGATCCTGAGTACAAACATACCATTGAAAGTTTGAACATTGAGGACAAACATATCATTTTGGAAACTGATGATGACAAATTGGTTGAGTGTACATTGAAATGGATCAGTATGTGCAATCAGAATGTTCAACGAAAGATCAAGGAAAGTTTTGTCAAACCAGAAGAAGGACAAGAGAAAGAAAAGGATGAAGAAGAGAAGATTGCTGACGAAGAAAAAGAAGAAGAAAAAGACACACAGGAGCCACATGTCCCAGCTGAAGGCTCTTCAGAGAAAGAGGAATCAGCTCCACCTGAACGCTCCTCAGAAAAGGAGGAATCAGGGGAGAAGAAGACAGACATTCAAGATGATGAGACAGCTCCTGAAGTGAAACCTGCAGTTCGACTTTACTATGGTCAAGATATCACTGGAAACGAAGATGATTCAGTTTTTCGAAAATTGAAGGATTGTTTTTCAGATGGTTACCATGGTGAATGGGCAGGATTTTACAACAAAGGTTATCCAGCGTCTTCGAAGCATCGACATATGTTTTGGCATGTTAAGTACAGGAAGACCATGTCTCCACATCATGATTTTTGGTACCATCTTACAGATGACCAGTTGATGGTTGAGTACATTGCCAGACACAAGGATCAGAATCCACAACAAGAATTACAAGAACTCAATCAGCGCATTGAATATGGTTGTAGTGATCCTAGGATGCATCCTCTTCATCAAGACAAGGCAGAAAGATCCTCAAAAGAAGCAGAAAAGAGGATTGATGACGATTTTGGAAATCTCACAAGGGTACTCCAAGATTACGTTGAGGACCACAAGGTCTTGCCTTACTGTATGATCTTGCATAGCTTGGCTTACAGGTATTTAGGTGGAGGCCTATCAGACCCAACGTACAAGGATGCTGAATTTCCATACAGATCCTCTCCACAGATAACAGCAATGTTTTGGAA